CCTTTTAAAATCCAGCTTTTAGTAAAAATCATCTTTGAAATACCTTCCAACAGTTTCAGTAGGGGTTCAATACCATTTAAAATAATAATAGAGATTAAAGTCATAATCGGCCCCTCGGGCAAAGCATGGTTCGTAAAATAGCCCCTCGGGCAAACAGTAATCACGAATACTTCATAACTTGAAAATCTCAGTGGAAATAACCAATGTCAAATCAGTGATTAATTTCTGAACATCTCATAAACCCCAGTTTAAATAAAAGCTGTTTTAAAATATTTGTGCAACTTTTCGACAGAGGCTCAATATAAAGATGAGTGAAAACAGTCAATAAATCAACATATTCGATAGAAACTCATTTTAAGAGGAGTGAAATCAATAAGTCCATAAACAGGCCTCTCAGGCAAAACACCACTCATATGCATGTATATATCTATCGCCCCTCGAGATAGCCTCTCTGTCACTCGTGACTCAACTCTTACCAATCAGTACTCGTGCCTTTGTCTATCAAATCTAGCCACAATAATTCGATTCAGTTAATAAAAATTATAGGAATTAATTCCATATGAAATTCTACATTTTCCATTAAAAATCCGAAATTGCACTCAAAATTAGCTCGTGGGGTCCACATCTCGAAACCCGACAAAAATTACGGAATATGAAACCTCATCCAACCACGAGTCCAACCATACCAATTTTACTAAAATCCGACATCAACTCGACCCTCAAATCTTCAAATTAAACCAAGAGGGTTTTCAAGATTTTTCCAACTAAAATCACCAATTAAATGCCAAAACTAGTAATAGATTCGGGTAATCTAACCAAAATTAAGTTAAGAACACTTACCCCATTGTTTTCTCTGAAAATCTCCCGAAAATCGCCTCTCCCCGAGCTCCAATTTGGTAAAAATGGAAAATGGGATTCGTCCCATTTTCCAGAACTTAACATTCTGTCCGGTACTGTTCACGACTGTTCACGGGATACTGTTCATGGGGTACTGTTCACGGGGTACTTTACACGGGGTCTGTACATGTTACTGTTCACGGGGTACTATACATGGTACTGTTCATGCAGGTGCGGTCACTGTTCACACGTGCGAAAAATGCAGAAACTGCCCAGAAAATTGCAGCAACTTTTCTTTTCACTAAAAAGGCTCTAACTCCATCGTACGAATTCGAAATTTAATGATTCTTGTTCCTATGAGTCACAAATAATAATACGAACATATCCCTTCAGTGGAAACTCAATTCGGAGCTCATTTGCTCAGTTCAATACCCATTTCGCTCGTTAAATAATTAACTCATGTTTCGTGTCAAAAACCCAATCGTGACTTGATGAAATTAGACCAAACTTTCCAGATCAGTCCTATAATTCATTATCAAAATTACGGAAGTCACGAAATCAATTTTCGATCTCTAGAACTAAAAATGGATCTTTGGATCATTACATGTTTATGCTCAAAACGGCAAAATCCTCCAAAAACTCTTCCAAAACTTATCTAAGACTCATGGGACCCCGACCAAATATGTCAACACACCCCATAACATAATTCAAACTTGTTCCAACCTTCGGAACGCTCAAAACAATATCAAAACATCAAATCACCCTCGGATTCAAGCCTAAGAATTCCAAAACTTCCGAAATTCAAATTCGATCAAAAAGTCGACCAAATGACGTCCAAATGACCTGAAATTTTGCACACACATCACAAATGACATAACGAAGATACAACAACTCTCGGAATTTCATTCCGACCCTTGGATCAAAATCTCACCTATCAACCAGAATTCGCCAAAATATTAACTTTGTCAATTCAAGCCAAATCCTTCCACGGACTTCCAAAATGCATTCCGATCGCACTTCTAAGTCATAAATCACCCAACGAAGCTATCCAAATCATAAAATTTCCGATCCGAGCTCATATACAAATAAGTCAACTCTTAGTCAAACCTTTCAAATTCAAAGCTTTCAACTGATATTGTTCCTTCAAATTCATTCCGATTTTTCCTGAAAACCAAACCAACGATCTACATCAGTCATAATACATTACACGGGGCAAGTCATGCCCGGGAACTGGTGATCAAAGTGCAAAAGTTCAAAACGACCGGTCGGGTCGTTACA